GCTTTCGGGCCGACGCCCGCCGACCTCGATCCCCGAACCTCCGTAGTAATAGTCCGATGCTGTAACCTTAAGGGCTAAGCCCAAGCCTGGGGCTGAGTCCCGCAGAATACCATATAGGCAGTGCGGCGCGACGCTTTTGGGCCAACCAAACGGCTGCGCGGCTCCCATTTGTCCGTGCCGGTTTGCTTATACCATGCCATAACTACCCCGCGCGCCATCCTACGACACCCCGCTTACCGCACGAAATCGCGTCGTTATTGCCGATGCCGTCGTCGGGGTCGTTTCGCCGCACACGCGCTTGACCTACTAATCAAAAAGAAAATATCCTTAATCCCTGCTTAATAAAAAATAACAATAGCACCAAACGAAACGACCGAGGTCCGGGCCGGCTTTACGATTAAATAACAGAAAAAGAATCACGCGCGCCTTAAACCTGCGCGCCCACGCACTCGCTATTGCGGTCAACCACCCTGTCAAAGCAATTACTGACGCAACCGTGCTTAGCGGGGTATACTTTAATTCTAAACCAAAACTATTTTCTGTCATTTGCAAAAACCAGGGCGGATACCCTTGTAAGGGTATTCGCACCGACAGCTTACCGGACCATATTAAGCGACGTCCCCGTCGCTTCGCCAAATCTGAAAGCTATAAATCCATTCACACTCCAAATGCAGACAAAAGAAGTGAGCCAATCCGATTAGCCGACAAACACAGGGTAGAGGCCTCCATCCAACCATGCCTTCCCAACTATATGCTGCCAGGTTTCGAACCCAAGTCTCTCACTACCCAGAAATTAGGACGCTGACAACATAAGTTCCAAAGACCTTCCCGATCGTCCTCTCCCCGGTCCTAGACAACCTTCAGCTTCTCGTTGGGTGTCCCTAGTCCTGGCAAAAACTAGGGACGCGGGCCTTAACCGAGACCTTTGAAGGCACTCTCGCATTCCTTCTCAAAATCTCTCGCAATCAAATTCATATAAGTATATGTGTAAACTTAATATCCACTCTGCTCTTTCTGCAGTCTAGTACAGAAAGGCCATGTCTCCATCTTGGCCCACCATAGCCTGGTTGATCGGACTAGGACTACGGCCCACCACATTGTTATTTAACGACATGCTAATCTTTTGTGTATCGTTCCAATTTTAACGGATGTCCCGAAGGAGTTGGTCGGGTCTATGCCCCCACAGCAGCACCAGAGGGCACTCCGCCTGCTGTCCGCCTGCGCCCGGCACGATTCACGTCCGGGTTCACCCCGGATCTTGTTTTTGTCCTACGTCACCCTTACGTAGGGGCCCTACTAATCTCCTCTGCAGTATTCCGGC